GGATGATGAGTGTGTGTATATCTGCGCACAAGCGCGCGTGAGGTGTTGCCATGACGAGCCTGGGGCTGTGCGGGGGGCGTTTGAGGGAAAACAGCCCCCATCCCTTCCCAACAAACAGGCGGAAGTCCTCTCATACGAAAAATTGCAGCTCACACGACAAGCGCATACACCGATATGGGAAGCACTTCAAAGAGCCTCCTCCCCACACGAACCCGGGCAGCCCACCTGCACCAGCCCCGGGGCCGCGTCCCTGTCCACGTAAAGCAGCAGGTCCACCCCATTCTCCAGGACGTACACGCCCCCCGCCTCCAGGCCCTCGCTGCTGAGCGCCAGGGGGTCCGGCAGGCCACCGTCGGGCGCCAGGCCGCCGCCCTCCACCAGCCTGCGCGCGCATGTGTGCGTGTGTGTGTGTGGGGGGGGGGGGGGTATGAAAATCTGGCGTTTCCAGACAGATCCAGGCGCCCAGGCCTCACCGCCGACCGCATGCACAATTACAGGGGACTCGTCGGCGCGGCTAGAACAGGCGCCCGCTTCCCACAACGCAAGAGTGGGGCAGCAGAAGCACCGCGCCACTTGTCAAAGCAAGTTCCGTCCAACCAAGCAGGACCGTGCCCGTGATTACGCCAACACGCGCGTGACTGCGTGGGGCGCACAAACAACACACACACACACACACACACACACACACACACACACACACACACACACACACACACACAAACACACACACGTATACATGCACATGCGCGCGCGCACGTCGCATAGCCACACGCGCACACACAGCCACAGCCACGTCCGCGACCACACCAGCCCCCACCTGTGCAGCGGGAAGAGGCGCCCGTGCAGCAGCCCCATCACGCGCGACGCCCCCAGGCTAATGGCGGCCCCCACCCAGAGGCTCCGGTCGTCCGCGCGCACGTCGGGGCGCAGGGCGGCGGACTTGAGGAGGGCGAGGCTGTAGAGGGGCAGAAGCTTCAGGGCCTCGGGCAGGATGAGCTGGCAGAGGGGGGAGGGGTGGGGGCAGGGGTGTTGGCGGGGAGGGGACGGGATGATGATGTTGGTGTGGGTTTGAGGGGCGGCAGGGGCAGGGTTTCGTTATTGTACTGATGGGCGTGCGTCGGACTGAGAGGGAAGAGTCGGTATCTTGTGGGTTCGTGCGGACGCGACCGTCCCACGGAGCGAGGAAGCCGACCGACCGGCAACCTGACCAGCAAACCGACCGAAACACCAGCCAACCGACCGACCATCCCACCCACCCAGCAATCATTCAGCCAACCGATCAGCCACCCAACCAAGCCGGCCCCACCTGCACCGCGCTGCTGCTGGTGGCGCAGAACTTGCGGTACGCAGCCAGGGTGGCGATGGAGCGGCTCATGACGGCGTCCTTGGCCGCAGCAAATGTGGCCCCCGGCAGCGTTGTGGCCACCTGGTGTGGGGCGCGTTTCAAGGATCGTGTGGGGAATCTCACGGGCGCTCGATGGCTGCCGCACGCCCCGCCCCTGGACAATTGTGGGCGGGAAGGGGGATTGACCTGCGCCCAGCGAATTGCAGCGACCGCAGCGCACGTGCCAACCCAGCAGCCCCAAACATGTGCTTGCACCTGCACACCCGTTTCTCAGCGGCATGCAACGGTGGCCGAGCCCCTTGTCAATCACTTGAATGAGCCAGGTGCCCGCTGCGCCAGCGCGAGGCGCGCCAGTCCCAAAGGAGACGCCCACGCCAGCCCTGCCCAACCCCCAAAAACAACGGACGCTGCCAGGCCGGGGCCGAGCCCGCCCCACTACACCTCGCCCTCCACCATCTGTCCCTTATCCCCCACCCGAGCATAACCCCCCCTAAGAAACCAAACATAGGACCACACACACCTGCCGCGCCAGCACCGACAGCTGTGCGTCCAGGTCAGCGCCCTTGAACACGGCCCCCATGCTGTCTGTCACGGGCAGCGCCACCGTAGACACGCGGATGCGCCGCGCGCCGTCGGTGGTGGTGTATAGCAGCGCAGACTGCAGGTAGCACTC